CCATCCATCCATCCATCCATCCATCCATCCAGGTATTAGGTTCTGTGCATGTGGAGAGGGGAGTACAGGCAGGACTTGGAGGAGGAGAGGATCTGTGTTTGCAGAGAGTGAGTATGCACCAAGACAATGGGCCCTGGAACCAGAGAGGGAGCTGGGATGAAGCCAGTGTGGCAAAAAGTGGAGTGATCCCTGAGGAGGGTATTGGAAGAAACTAGAGAGGAGGGGTACAAAGCAAGGGAACCCTGTATGGTTTGAAAATCAGGAAAGGTGTGTGTCAGGGTTGTATTCTCTCTCGATCCCTATTCAATCTGTAGGCTGAGCAAATCATTAGAAACTATATGAAGAAGAAAGGGACATCAGAATTGGAGGAAGATTAATCAACAATCTGCATTATGCAGATGACACAAACTTTGATTGCTGCAAGAAAGGAGAACTTGAAATGCTTGTTGCAGAAGATCAAAGACTACAGCCTTGAAAATGGTTTGCATCTCACCATCAGTAAGACCAAAGTCCTCACCACTGGACTGATAATGACAGATGGAGAAAAGACTGAAACTGTCAACGATTTCATCTTACTTGGATACACAATCAACACTATTGGTTCCAGGAGTCAGGAGATCAGGAGACATACTGTATTAGGCAAGTCTGCTGTCAGGGATCTCTCCAAATTACTGAGGAGCAATGACGTCAATTGGAAGACTAAGGTGTGGCTGATTCCTGGCGAGCTCTGGTGGCCTAGCGGCAAGAAGCTGCCCTGCAATCCCAGAGGTACATGGTTCTAATCCACCGGATGCTCTGCTGAAGGAGGAGGGACAATCTCATCCTGTACCAGTCAGATCTGATTTGATGGCACACACATATAAAACAATAATAATAATAAAAATAAATAAATTAATTAAAAAGGTGTGGCTGATTCAGGTCATGGTCTTTTCAATCATTCGCTACACATCTGAGAGCTGAAAAATTAAGGATAGAACTGACACCTTGAGCTGTGGTGTTGGAGAAGAATCCTGATTATCCCACGGAGGGCCAGAAGAACAGATATGTCTGGGAGAAAGTGCAGCCAGAGTGCTTCTTAGAGGCAAGAATGGAGAAGCTTCATCTCACATACTTTGGGCATGTTGTTAGGAGAGGATATTCCTTGGAAAGGGGCACCATCCTTGGAACAATGGAGGGTCAGCAAAAGAGAGGAAGACCCTCAACAAGAGGGACCGACCCAGTGACTGCCTCAGTGGGTTCATGTGTGTCAGAGACGATGAGGATGGCACAGGACAGGACAGAGTTCAGATCTGTTTGTTCATAGGGTCGTTAGGAGTTGTACTCAACAGGATCTAACAAAAATGTAAAAGAAAGAACAGGCAGAAGCAAGAAGCACAAAAAGGGACTCCTGGTAGACCGAACAGTCCTGGGGCACAAGTGTGCCCAGGAAGTGAGCTGGGTGGCAGGCAGGGCTTTGTGGAATGAGAGTGCGTGAAGAGGCAGGGATGGTGAAGGTGGGCACTGGATGGGCTGCTGGGTGGAAGACAGAGGACCAGAGAGAACGTGTGGCCCAGCCTCTGCAGGATGAGTCCATAGCGTGGGCAGTAAAAACAGCTGGACCTCTCTCTGCAGCAGCTGGCCAGGTGTGGGCAGGGAGTTACACAGCGGGACGTCAACAGTGTCACTACAGGAGCAGCGCCCTACCCTGCCACCAAGAGCTGGAGGGGACTCACCTGGTGCCAGGACAACAGGCTCCGGCTGCCCACGGTTTCCATAGTAGCAGACAACATCTCCCTTGGACGTGCTGCAATGCAAATGGGAGGGAAATGGTCAGGCAGGTTCTCTCTCGGGCCCTCACAGCAGCCAGGCCAAGGCTAAGCAGGGTCCTGCCTCCCACAACGTCACCAGCCTGGGAGACGGCAGTAGCTATCTTGTCGAATGCCCCTATCAGCTCAGGACAGGGTGGCAGCATCACTGGAAGGCGTGCAGGGGAGCTTTAGTCTGCGGTTTGTGGAGCACTTAACCCAGCTCACTCTCAGGAACTACTGCAGACAAATGGTTCAACCACAAGTGAGCACAAGCCAAGCGCCTAGCAGCTCCCCTGAAACAGCACAAGCTCCTTCCCTGGGGTCCAAGCCATGTCCTCAGGGCAGGGGAAACTCTGAGGTCCAAGTGGCTCTTGGACAAACATTCCTCACACTTTCAAACACTGGGTGCCTTTTAACACATCTCAAAGCCAAAGATATTCCCCTTCTTAATACCACACTGAAATGTTCAATAAGACAGCAAACCACAAATGCTGGTGAGCATGAGGAGAGACCAGAATGCTCACACCTTGCTGGTGGGATTGTAAAGAAAGCAATCTGACAGGTCCTTAGAAAGCTGGGAACAGAAATACCATTTGATCCACCAATCCCACTGTGGTTGTTATGTACCATTGTTGGAACTGACTCCTAGCTGACCCTCCAGTGGGTTTTCAGAGGCTATAAATCATATAGGAGTTTGTTCATCTTTCTCTCAGAGCAGCGGGTGGATTTGAACTTTGCACCTTTGATTCGGCAGCATAATTCCTTAGCACTAAACCATCAGAGCTCCTAATTATGTTATAAGGCCTATTAATGTACAAAGCTAAGGAAAAGAGCTCCAGTGGCCTAGTGGCAAAAAGCTGTGCTGCAATCTCGAAGGCACATGGTTCGAATCCACCAGCTGCTCCACGGGAGAAGGACGGGCAATCTCCTCCCGTGTGATTTATTGCCTCAGAAAACCCACAGTCGGTTCTGACTCGACAGCACACAAAAAGAATAAGGAAAGGTTTACACAGATAGAATCAATCCTGGAGGGTTAACATGGATGAGAAGGGAGAGGGAGGGGAGTAAAAATTAACAGCTAAATCAGATGAAGGGAAAGGCAATGTAAAATTAGGGTTTAGGGAGCTCTGGTGGCCTGGTGGCAAGAAGCTGCACCGTAACCCCAGAGGTATGTGGTTCAAATCCACCAGTTGCTCTGCTGGAGAAGGAGGGGCAATCTCCTCCTGTACCAGTCAGATCTGATTTGACTGTACCTGCACAAAATAATAAAATTTAAAAAAGAAAGAAAAGGACATCATAAATAAAATTAGGGTTTAACAAGACATTGTGTTTTTTTCTTCTATAATTATATTTTATTAATTTTCATAAACATTTACAGAGATTTTGGGCTTCCACTCATTCATTGTTGCACTATTCTCTCTACCCTCCTCCCAGTTTGTTCTTGTCCAAATGCCACAGTGCTTGTCAAAGCCAGTTCTGATTAATCTTCTTTGTCAGTGTGTCCTTTGCCATTCCCTATCACTCCTCCCTGAGAGAGACTTCACCCTGAGTCATAAGGAAAAGGGGACGGCGTATTCTCTTAGCTACTTCCTGCTGAAAAGGGACGCTTAACAAGACATTGTGATTAATTGCATCAATCAACTGTGACATTATGAGACAAAGGGCATGTGAAAGATTGAATGAAAACCAACAGGATTTGTAAACTTTCACTCAAATAGTCAAGGGTAGGAGACCCCCTCAAACACATTCTGAGCCTTTCTGCTAGCGCTCAGGATACTGTTCCCTGCGGAGAGGTCTCTGGGTCCTGGGCCACCCCCAGTGCCAGTCGTTGGACATGCAGGCTCAGGTTTTTGGGGTAAACAAACTCAGAGAAGGGGTGGACACAGGGCACCAGGAGGGACCTCCTGCCAGCCTGGCCCTGGCTTCTCCTTCTTCCTCCTGGTGACTGGCCCACCAGGGAGAGGGAACCGCAGTCCCAGCCTCCAACCACCTCGTGGTTCCTTTTTTTTGGAACATGGGGTTAATAGTGTAAAAGACTTGATCTGCACACAGAAAGCTTGATCTTGTGTGATCCTGTGATGTTAGTGCCACCACATGGCAACTGAGGAGGACCTGGCAATGACAGGGAGGAACCTGGAATAAAACGCTGTTCTGGCTGGGGCTAGATTTGCACACCAGAATCAGCAATGGGGTTACTCAGTGGCCTGGCGGTCCCTAGTACCCCCCGCCTGCCACCTGACCTTGTAGGCTGTGTCCACGGAGAGAGGCCTCCAGCTGACACCAGTCGACCCTGCACGGAGCTGGGAGAGCCACGTGGGGCTCCAGGGGCTGCACTTTCCCACCTGAGCCACAGGAGGGCAGCATCCACACACGGAGCACCTTTTGAATCTCAAGCCTCGTGGTCCCCACTCCTGTCAGAGGGACTTCTTGTTGTGACTGTTGAGTCAGAACCGACCTATAGCTGATCCTTCAGCGGGTTTACAGAGGCAATAAATCACACAGGAGGAGACCGCCCATCTTCCTCCTGCAGTGCAGCTGGTGGATTCGAACAGCAAACCTTTATATTGGCAGCGCAACTCCTTAGCACCAGGCCACAATAGCCAGCCGGACTACTTTAGAGTAATCAATCCTTGGGGTGGGGGTAGGGAGGGACCCAGAACTTGTGGGAGCAAAGAGAACGACCAACTGCCTACAAAACCCGCTGGAGGGCCAGCTATGAGTCGGTTCCAACTCAATGGTAGGTAACAGCCATCTCTGCCATCCAAAACGTGCCATCAGGTGCAGCCGGAGCGCTCCCTGGAGGCAAGAATGATGAAGCTTCATCTCATTCTGGGCATGTTGCTAGGTGTGGCTGCTCCTTAGAGAGGGCCATCGTGCCTGGAAAGGTGGAGGATTGGGGAAGGAGAAGACCCTTAACCATGTGGGTTGACACACAGTGACAACAGCAACGGGTTTGGGTGTGTTTGAGATTGTAAGGATGACACAGGACAGGACAGGGTTCAGATCTGTTGCTCACGGGATCGCTATGAGTTGTACTCGACTTCATTTACCTGGTAACAACAACAACAACCTGTTAATGGCACGTTATCTAGTTCTCTTGGTGGGCCACGTACACCTCACAGGGGCACGGTCCCATCTCGCATCATGGTGACAGTCACAAAGACTTTGGCTGGAAAAGCCACACTAAGTAGCTCGCTGTCCTGTACTTGGCAAGTGGTAAGGATCCTGTGTTGGTGTTGTGTGCTGTCAAATCCCATGTGACTCATAGTGACCCTGCGTACAGCCCTGAATCCTGCTCTATCCTGAGCCAACCTCATTGTCTGTGACATATCTACCTAACCCCTTATTACGAGAGTCACTGGGTCAATCCATCTCATGCAGAGTCTTCTTGTCCTCTTGCTGATCCCCCACCCTCCCAAACATGATGTCCCTCCTTGCAACATGCCCAAAGTACGTCAGGTGGAGCTTCAGAATTCTTGCCACCAAGGAGAAGCCTGGTTTCACTCTCTCCAGGATGACCCTGTGTGTTGTCCTAGCGGTCCATAGTATATTCAATATTCTTCTCCAGCATCATAACTCAAAGCATCCTTTGCAGACAACATAATTTGGCTGATCATTCCAGAACCACCCCAGAACACCACGCGGACCCCTGAAGTCTGTGCTACATACACTGCCCTCTACCAGTCTGGACAGATGCAGATCTCTGGCTTTTTTTAAAAAAATTTTTATTGTATTATTTTTACGTGTACCGTCAAATCAGATCTGACTGGTACAGGAGGAGATTGCCCCCTCCTTTTCCAGCAGAGCATCTGGTGGCTTTGAACCGTGTACCTCTGGGATTGCAGCGCAGCGTCTTGCCACTAGGCCACCAGAGCTCCCTAGATCTCTGGCTTTTTAGGAGTGTAGGGTGCAGGACTACGTCGATCACAACAGAGGCCACGCCAACCCCAACATGCAGCACTGCTCCTGGGCCACCACCAGCCACTTGTTGAGCCCCACAGACCCCCATGGTGAGGAGTCACAGTACCCACCCAGAGGTCCTTCCTGAGGAAGCTGTACCGGCCGGCTCCACAGCACTCCCCACACCCAAGGCGTAGGGAACATCACCCTACTCTCAGGCATACGTCCACCCAGGGAGCTCCCTTCTGCCCTGGCTTATTGCTGCCTGTCGGAAGCCAGAGGAGAAAGATGTAGCAAGGTGAGGGGCTTTTCAACCCCAGACTGGGGAATGGATTGGGAGACAGGGGGTGGGGTGGGGGGTGGGGGGGTCTCCTACACTCCTGTTCCAGAGAAACCCCACTAGACACAGCTCTCCAGGCCTTGAACTGGCAGCACTCACACAGGCTGGAGGTGACTAGAATGTGCAGCAAGCCCAAGAGTGCTGTGTATGCGGCCCCTGGAGCAAAGGCCGGCAAAGAGGTTCCACGGACACTGCAGTGCAGCTCACGCCCAACAGCTAAAGGGCAGCTCTCTCTCTGACAGCAGGCCATCAGGGGAGGTGCTCGCGCTCAGTCCTCCCAGGCACACCCACCTCAAATCTGCTGCTATCAGGTTGAAGCCGTTGTACAGGTGCCCTTCCGCTGAAACTTTTTTCAGGTAAGACAAGCTGTCCATGTCGGTGGTCAGGAAGTGGGTGACCAGTTCGCCTGTGCACAGGGAACAGATGTCGCAGTCTGGGGTGCAGCGATCACCTGCAGCTGAGCCCTCCTCCCATCCCAGGAAGGCCCACGGGGACAAGAAGAAAAGTTGGGGCATGAGCAGAGCCCTGGGGCCAGACTGACCATTACTAAGGCTGGGCCACGCCTCGGTGCCCAGGAGCCCTAAGAATTCTGTTTCTGGTGGTCTGCTTTTATTTCTCCTCCATTGCACCCAAAGTGGAAAGCCAGAATGGGGGACAAAGTCATCTGTAGGGAATCCTGTGTCTAGAGAGCTGTCTTTTCGGGAATATCTGTTCTGTGAATGTTAGAAACATCCTGAAGCCCAGCTGTGAGGTCTCTCTGACTGCTGGTGAGCCATGGGAGGCAGACACAGTGCCAGGAAAGCGACCTTGGCCAAGATGCAATGTGGAGTTCATTCTGAAAGGAGCCACTACCTTTATAAGGGTCTCACATGGGTCAGGGCTGAGGAGGGCCTCCCAGGTGATGGCCCTGGGCAGCCAGGCAGAGGCACAGCCAGTCTCACTCTTCTCCTGTCTCTGTCATGTGCACTTCACAGTAGGTAGGTCACCGCATCCTCAGGGCCCCAGCTACAGGCTGTCCAGACCCCCTCGCGGACCCGGCCGTACCTCTGCCCCGGGTGTCCTTGTCCAGTCGAGGCTGTAGGTAGTTGGTGAGCGCTGCCAGCTTGCCCCGAGTGCTCATGCCAAGCCACGACCCGCCTTCCTTCCCCTCTTCCATGTCAAGCCCTGCAGTAAACGGTAGTGTCACCACTGGAAAGATCTGCCATAGGTGGCACCAAGCCTGGCCTGGCTCCCCTATCTAACCACATCCTCTGGGGAGACCACACACCTCGTGAGTAAATGCAGCTCAGCCAGGCTGGGCATGGAAATGAGGTGAGGCAGCCCCCTAGAACCCACACTCTGAGTACACGCATAGTGCCAAGCCATTAGCCCAGCACTTGACTATCTGTGCCACCCAAGGGCTTTCTAGAGTATTGGGGTGAAAAACAACAAAAAACAAAAAACTACACCCACAAAAACACCTAGTTAGTACCATTAAAAAAGAGACCTCTAAAAAAAAAAACAAGAGACCTCTGTGTTTAAAAGGAATAAGTTATTAACAGTCCAGAATAAGAGGTGCATAGCAAAGTGGACTGGGGGAGGGTGGGAAGAGGGAAAAAAGGGCAACAATGAAATAATCTTTTTTTGGGGGGAAGTATTTTTTGTTTTGTTGTTGTTGTGTGTTGTTGAATTGGATCAAACTGGCTAAGATTGTCCCTCCTTCTCCAGTGGAGCATCTGGTGGATCCAAACCACATTCGGGATTGTAAAACCTTTTTAAAAAGAAAAGTGAATGGCTAGGGACGAAAATGTGCAACAATGAATGAATGAAAATCCAAGTTTTTTGTAAACTTTTATAATAGTCTTAATTAAAAAAAAATAAAAATACAAAAATAAAAATGGGGGGGGAAGGGATGAACTCTGGTGGCTTAGTACTAAGGAGTTGCATTGCCAACTCAAAAGCACATGGTTCGAATCTACTAACTGCTCCGCAGAAGAAGGATGGGCAGTCTCCTGTGTGATTTACTGATTCTGAAAACCTGCCAAAGGTCAGGTCAGGTTGTTTCTGACTCGATGGTATACAGTAACAATCGTTTTTTAAAAGTTTAGCTAAAAAGAGTCCACCAGTGTCTCCGAGTATGAGAGACAGGCAAACTCTTCCAGTGTGATTCACAGCCTCAGAAACCCAGTGGACGGTCAGCTGCGGGTCAACTCAGACTCAAGGGTAATGAGTTCCTTGTGGAGTTGACAACAGGTAAAGACTAGTGGTACCGGACTCAATGGCACTTAACAACAAGACTGGAAACAAGTGTGGCTAAGAAAGGCCAAGCAGAACAGACTCAGAGGAGAAGCAAGTCTGCACATTAACAGGAAACTAAATAGTGGCAAGATAACATTTCTCTCCAAATGACTGATGGAGCCAAGCAAAATCCCAGGCTTTTGGTTTATAGAAATTAACAAGCTCGATAAACATGGAAAGAAAGGTTATAGAGGCGTTCCAGGGAAAAGCATCTAAAACAGCCAAAACAATCCAGGAAAAGAAGATTAAGTTAGAAGACTTAACACTGTGTGATTTGAAGCATTCTGGAAAGGCTACAATAATCAGACAGTGTGGTGCTGAACTCAAGACAAACACAAAGATCAATGGAATAGAAGGGTCTAGGATAGACCCCCAGTTAGACAGATGTTCAACTGAGCTTCAGCCAAGTTGCCATGGTGATAAAACAGGCAGAAAATACTCATTCAATAAATGATGCTGGGACAGATGAAAGAAAAAAAAAGTATCTTAGTCCTTACCACACATTTTACATGAAAATTAATTTCAAGAACAGCTGGAACAGTACATTGACAGAGAACTGCCAGAAATTCAAGCTGGATTCAGAAGAGGCTGGGGAACGAGGGACATCATTGCTGATGTCAGATGCATCATGGCTGAAAGCAGAGAGTACAAGAAAGATGTTAACTTGTATATTATTGATTGACTGAAGATGTTCAACAGTGTGGATCTTAATAAATTTTGGATAACACTGTAGGAATGTTAGAACACTTAATTGTGCTCTTGTGGTAGCTGTACATGAACCAAGAAGCAGGTGTTCGAACAGAACAAGAGGATACCATGTGGTTTAAAGGTTTGCATTCAGGTTCTATTCTTTTATTGTGACTATTCAATTAGAATGCTGAGCAAATAATTCAAGAAGCCAGACTATATGATGAGTAATGTGATATCAGGATTGGAAGAAGACTTACCAACAACCCACATTATGCAAATGGCACATCTTTGCTTGCTGTAAATGAAGAAAGCTTGAAGCGCTTACTGAAGAGATCAGAATTATAGCCTTCAATGTGTATTAAACCGCAACATAAGGAAAACCTAAATCCTCACCACTGGATCAATAAACAGCAATAATACGTTGTGAATTATTTCATCCTACTTGAATTCATAATCAACACCTTATGGTAGCAGTTAAAGAACTTAAAAGATGTGTTGCATTGGTTAAAACTTCTGTCAATGCCTACTTTAAAGTGCTGAAGAGCAAGGATGTCAGCTGAAAGACTAAGGTGCACCGGACACAAGTCACAAGACAACTCTGGTGGCATAGTCTGTAGGAAGGCAGAGTTTGAGCGCGGCTAACTCGGAGGCTGTGCCTTTCTACAGCAGTTCAAATCTCCCAGCAGTTCCACAGGAGAAAGATGGGCAGTCTCCACCCATGTGACCTACGGCCTTGGAAACTCAATGGAGGGTCGGCTATGAGTCGGTCTCAACACAACAGCATCGAGTTTGTGTTTTACTTCACCTTAACACCAATTACTCATGGAGGCTTGATGGTGACTAAAGAAGACGGAACTTATGTCTTTACACGATGGTGCTGAGGAAGAATACGGAATACTCCAGGGTCTGCCAACAGGAGGACAAACACATCTGTCTTGGAAGAATTGTGGTCAGGATGCTCCTTGGCGGTGAGGGTGGTGAGCTTTTGTCTCAAAGACTTTGGATCTGTTATTAGAAAGGAGAGTCCTTGGGAAGAAGCTATCATACTCGGGAAAGTACGGAGGCAGCCACGCAGAAGAAGACCTTTAAAGCCATGGACTGACACCGTGACTGCTTTGAAGGTCTGACTCACCACAGACGTTGTGAGGGAGCTGTAGGGTTACACAGAAGTGTCACCTGCTGTATACAGGGCGGCTATGAGTTGGGGTCAACTTGATGGCACATAGTAACAATGAACAACACAATACACACAGCAGAATTATCACACAGCTGCGAAGAGACATGAATGACACTACAGAGACAAGGGCTCGGGAGAAGGATGAGCAGTCTCCTCCCGTGTGATTAACAGCCCCTGAAAACCCACTGGAGGGTCAGCTGTGGGTCAGACCCAACTCGATGGTTAATCGCTACAGAATGTTCTGGAAGAAGATGGAACTAATTCATTGGAGTGCAGTATGAACATCATCATCCCTGTCTCCGAATTATAAATGTGGTGGCTTTGCTGGCTGGCGTGGACTGGTGTGAATGATTTCACCACAGTGGGGGGAAAAATCTTGAAAAAGTAAGGAAATGGGAAAAAACCCCAAACAAACCCAGTTTAAAATTATAGATGCTGATAGGCGGGATCAGTCCTTGGAGAGGAAAGTCATGCTTGGGAGGGTGGAGGGACAGGGCAGGAGAGGAAGACCCTCGATGAGATGGATTGGTTCAGTGACTGGGGTAATGGGGGTAGGTGTGTCAGAGACAATAAGGTTGGCACAGGATAGAGCATAGGGTCGCTGTGAGTCGCAGGCGACTCAAATGGCACATAACAACAGCATAGCAATTTTAAGTGGGAATGGAATTATGAACAATAATTAACAAGTAATCCAATCTGCTGGTCGTTCCACAGGACCTAACCCTATGGGCCAGGTGGCCTCTCCTTCTGGAGACCCATGGAGGGCCTGCAGCCAGGATGCTGGCCCAGGACAACACAGGGAACGTGCATGGTGGACACGCAGGAGGTGCTCGTCTGTGCCCTCCCATCCATGTCCATTCATGTCCACGGCACGGCCACTCCACAGTGACTCTGTGGATTGGGCAGCCCTGCCTTGTTTGAGTCTCCACACTTGACCGGGTGCTGACAGCACACACACGGAACTGTGAGGACCCCCAAGACTTACCGCTGAGGATCTCATTGTTGTTCCCCCAAAAGTCAGCTAGTTTGGACGGCCTGTGATAAAATTCATCTCTGTTGGCTGCTAGGATAAGTCTGGAAGAAGAAAACAGAATTCAAGATCTCAGGGGGAAAAAAGAAATCTAAAAAAAAACCCCTCAAAACCTGGGAGCTCTGATGGCCTAGTGTCAGGAAGCTGCACTGCAATCCCAGAGGTGCGCGGTTCAAATCCACCAGATGCTCTGCTGGAGAAGGAGGGGGATTCTCCTCCTGTCAGTTGGATCTGACTCAATGGTATACAAGTGAAAAAGGGAGAAAAAAATCCCACCTCCAAAACTCACACACTCATGGACACTGAGTCAGAACTGACTCCCAGCAGGCTCCAGGCGGGGCCGGGGGGGAGGGGAGACGGACCACCTTTCTTCTGTGGAACAGCTGGTGGATTCGAACCACCAAAGAAGCATAGACTTTGGGTTAGCAATGTAACTCCACAGTTACATCAGGGATTCCTCAGAAGGAAATGGGATTTCAAACACAAACACCAACTTCCCATCTCTCTTCACTGTTCACACAGGAGCCCTGGGCTCATGCTGGGAGCCAGTGAGGGGCGGGGGGGCGAAGATCAAATGACCAAGCCTTCACCAATCCAAAGTGGGGAACTATTAAAGCCAATCCCCCCACCCTCCTGTACCTCACAATACACGTGCAGTAGAAGCTGTCCTCAAAGCAACTTGAATCAAGTGACATAAAGACAAACAGACTGGAAACACGTACCAGATCTTTAATTCTCTGAGATATCATACCAGTGACCCAGACTTGGGCCCAGAAGCACCTTTTTTAAAAATTGATATTTTAATGAAAGTTTATAGAGACTTTGGATTTTCATTCATTCGTTGTTGCACGTTTTCCTCCCTGCCCATCAGAAGCTGATGTATCCTCTCCTGTTAACCTCTGCCAGTGGGTCCCAAAGGCTGTGCACCTGTCATCAGTGTCTGTGTGGGTGCACAGCTCAGGATGGAGTAGCACTTGAATGAGAGGGGACCAGAGATGGGCCGGGGCATGTGGAGGAAGGTGTTAGTTAGATATGCCAAGTGGAAGCCATTAGAAGGGCCCCTACCTAGAAAACAATGATCCCAAAGCAATACCGCATTCCTGGAGCAACTGGAGAAATTGCTGTTACCACTGAGAATTCAAAAGACATGGGGTGGGGGTGATGCCCACCACATCCTCACCAATTTGCCTGTTTGGCCTATTCAAAGATCAGATGGTGCTTAAAAGAATGACAGTGGATCGTCTTAATGAGTGGGTGACTGCAACCTGCAGCTGCTGTTCCAGATGTGGTTTCACTGCTTGAGCAAATGAACCCATCGCTTAGTACCTGGTGAGGGAGGTCTGGTGGCCTAGCGGATAAGGAGGTGCGCTTCCACCCCAAAGGCAGGTGGTTCAAAACCGCTCTGCAGAAGAAAGTTGGACAGTCTCCTCTCGTGATTTACAGCTTCTGGGAGTCAGCTGGAGGGTCAGCTCTGACAGCACACAACAACAACAACAGTTTCTGGTCTGGACCTGATTGAATGAATGGTGGTCGGCCGTGAGTCGACCGTCTGAGCCGGTTCTGACTTGATGACACACACCCATGGCACCTGGTCTGTAGCTACTTATTTGGTCAATTCCACTCCCCCCGGCCCCCCACTCCATTCTGATTTCAAAGGATCATTAAAATTAGCTGTGTGACCTGTCAACCTTCTAGCACTACGTCCTCAGAAAGTATCAGTGTGCAGCCTTGCCTACCAACCTTGGAACTTGGCAAGTTTCAAACGATCAAGTTTATATATAAAAAGTAGAGGGCTTGACAGAGGATGGAAGGACTCTCTGAGGACAAAATAACAGTGTCATCCAGGAGTTAATACCCTGCAGGGTCAAAGGTGCCCCTGCTCTAAGTCGGTGTGCAATACATCAAGCTCTTTCTCCTACGCCCAGAACTCACAGAGCCAGGATTCGGAAGAAGTGCGAGTTGCAGCAATTACTATTACACGAGAGACTCACAAGGTGTTTGGTCTCCTGTCCCCGTAACTATGCTCTCAGGTCCTGGAGCCTTAGTTCCACATGGAAGTAAACCCCCACCGTAAGACACAACCAAACAGGAAGCCAAGGATGCCATCCAACTACTTCGGGCTGCTCCTGGCTCAGGAACAACAAGGGGAAGAAGACACTGACTGTTAATGTCTGCTGTGGTTGATTTTGAGAACCAAGGGGAGACAGGACTGATATTACACAGTGCAGGTAAAGAAGTGTGTCTGGAACAGAGAAGATGCCCCGGGCTGTCTCTTAGTATCTACCAGGGAGACTTGCGAGTAGAAAAAGACGACAGCAACTTGTTTCCAACATGACGACCAAATAAGCGAAGACTCTTCAGGAATGAAGGTTTGTATCCCTCCCGTGTTAGGGGCCAAGGAAATGCAGAGCAGTTATGACCAGCTGCAGAAATGAAGACTGTAATGGCCACGAGGATTGCTTCCTTGTATGTGCACACAAAGCATTCTTCCTTTTCTTCACCTGCAAAAGAAACTTTATAAATGGGACTAGTGCATTTCTAGAGAGCTCTGGCAGCTTAGTGGAAAGGAATCGTGCTGCCAAGCCAAAGGCACACAGTTCAAATCTACTAGCTGCTCCATGGGAGAAAGATGGGCAATCTCCTCCTGTGCGATTAACTGTCTCTGAAAATCTGCTCGAGAGTCACCTGTGGGTCAGTTCTGATTTGATGGTACACAACAACAACAGTGTATTTCTAGTTGAGAACACATCAGTTGTACCATGCTAGGCACAAGCATAATTTGACAATTTTTTTAAAAAAATTAATTTTAATAAAAGTTTACAGAGACTTAGGGTTTCCAGTCATTCATTGTTGCCTTCTCCCCCCTAATTCACTCTTCTCCTTGAAAAGAAAAAGAACCTCTTTCATTGTTATGCAATCCCTCCCCCCAAGTCCACTCCATTATGCAGCCTTCATTCTGGACTTCTGTAATGACAAGAATACCCATTCATATATCCCTTTAAACAGTTCTTTCCCTCATCTGTTTCAATGCAGTATACATCATTCCTCCCCTCCTTCTCTGTCTTCCCTCAACCCCAATGTCAGTCCCGTTTTACAACAGTGGCACCATGCAGTATTTGTCCTTTTGTGACTGAGATATTTCACTCAGCATAATGCCCCCCAGGGTCACCCATTTTGAATGATATTTCATGAGTTCCTCGTTTTTCAGTGCAGCATAGTATTCCATTGTGTGAATATACCACAGCTTCTCTATCCATTCGTTTGTGGATGGGCGATTTTTCAATTGTTTTCACTTAGAGATTCCTGATGGTTTCAACAGATGTGACAGGTGTCACATTGACAAGGGTGGAGAGGCATGGCTGAGGCTGCGTATCAGCTTGGCTGCCCTTGATTTGCTAGTTTGAGGGGTGTGATACAGTCATTTCCTTGATGAGCTCTGACGCAGCGTAACCACGTCCAGGATGAGCTCTTCCAGGAGCAGGCTATCAGCTGAAAGAGAGTTTACTTGAGGATGAGATACATCAAATATACAGGAATGTTCTAAAAGCTCTGCTGGGTTTTGTTCTATTTGGATCCTATCTGGCACTTCAAGATCTAACCTTTAGTCCCTGGACCACATTGCCAGTCCATCCTGGATTCCTCAGCTTCTAGCCTGTCCTCTGACTCACAAGTCTTGGGATTTGCCAGCCTATGGGCAAAGTCTTGAATAATCCAGGAAGCATCAAAATAAGATGGAGGGAATACACATAGTGACAAAAATAATTGACTGGCAGGGCACTATTTCTGGAAGTAGAATATGAATGGCCAATGGTAATAAGGGAGTTCTGGTGGCCTACTGGCAAGAAGCTGCGCTGCAGTCCCAGAGGTGCATGGTTCAAATCCACCAGATGCTCCACTGGAGGAGGAGGGGCAAGCTCCTCATGTACCAGTCAGATTCAATTCGATGGTAAACAACAACAACAAAAAAAAAAAAGATGTTTAAAAAAGTCAATGGTAATAAAAGTTCAAGCAGGAAATGGTAAAAAAGAAATCCCCAATAATCTATGGGATGTCAATTGACATATTTCAACCAACAGATGAAGTCCTGGACGCGTTCACCAGTGTCTGTAAGAAAAATTGGAAGACACCTACCTGGCAATGTACTGGATGTTGCCATCCCCAAGAAAAGTGACCCAAGAGAAGGTGGACCTTGCTGAACAATATCCGTAATATCTCATATAAGTAAAATCTTGCTGAAGATTATCCAAAAATGGCTAGAACAGTACATTGACAGAGAGCTTCTAGAAGTTCAAGCTACATTTAGGAGAGGCTGTGACAACAGGGACATAATTGCTGATGGCAGATGGATCTTGGCTGAAAGCTGCTAATATCAGAAGAATATCTGTGTTTTATTGACTATACAAACGCTTTTGACTGTGTGGATCATAACAAGTCATGGCTAACATTAAGAAGAATGGGAATCCCAGAGCACTTAATTACGCTCATATGAAACCTTTACCTGGACCAAGAAACTGCTGGAGGAACAGAGCAAAAGAACAATACATGGTTTAAAAATGAAGAAATGTGCACATCAGAATTGTGTCCTTTCTCTATACACATTCAACCTGTATGCTGTGCAAATAGTTCAAGAAACTGGACTATCTGAAGAAGAATGTGGCATCAGGACAAGAGGAAGATTCATCAACAACATGTGTCATGCAGGTGACACAACCTTGCTTGCTGAAAGCAAGGATGACTTGAAGCCCTTGCTACAGAAAATCAAGGATTTCAATATGGATTACAGATTACAGCTTTCAATATGGATTACATCTCAGCATCAAGACGACAAAAATCCTCACCACTGGGCCTATAGGCAACTTCATGACAGATGGAGAAAGGACTGAAATTGTTAATGATTTCATTGACTTGGATCCACAATAAACACCTTCAGTAGCAGCAGTCAAGAAATCAAAAGATGTATCATATTAGGAAAGTCTGCCGTCAAAGACCTCTTCAAAGTATTAAGCAACAATGATGTCCGTTTAAAGGTTAAAGTGTGTCTGAT